GCCAGGCCCTGGTGAAGGCGCGGTCATCCGAGAAGACGTCGGAGCTCTTTTCGCGCGCCCCGCCATCCAGGCGCTCTGGGAGTAGCCGGGAGATTATTCACCCGGCCAGTAATGAGTGAAAACGAATCATTGGGCAGAACAAGAGATAAAATATTTATGTTTAAATATCTCAGTCACGAGTGAAACTAGAAGAGAACTTTGTATATGAGAGAATCCAGGAAAATTGATACAACTGTAAATAACTAATGGAAATTAAGATAGAAAGAGAATGTGGTGAATAATTTTAGTAAGATAAAGTTTGACTAGGATTCATATGTTCATTTTCCTTGATTCGTTTAACGTGTAGCAAGAGTACAATTCATTAAGAATAGTAATTTTGAAGTAAACATAAAAATTAGGGTATATGCCAACACTAAAGGCATTAACATTTGAGGAGGCTCCAGCGGGGACCATCATGCTAATTGTGATTGAGTCGTTGTAACCCAATATTTTAACGTACGTGAAAGAAAGCTATGAATAGGTACAGAATCTAATAGTTCTTTAAGAAGAACGTGTTCATTTCTCATTCTAAGTTAAATTTATCAAACATTTCTTTGACCCAGGTATTTCTAAAACGAGCTATAAGCTCAGAATTACGTTGAGTATCAGCAATAAATCTGTGGATAACTCAGACTAGTAGTAGAAGTAGAAAGCTTCTCTAAAGAAACTCTAGTACGAGAAAGTATGTGCCCTTCTTTAACATCACGGATTTTTTTGAAAATTTGGAAATGCCTCAGATCCTTCATGTAAAGTACCTCCAAAATTCAAATATCTGTTTCAAGTTCAAGGGGCCGCAACATCGGCCATTTCGATTGGCACATATCAATTTTTGAGAACATCGGCTAAATGGTTTAGCCGTTAGCATTGTTCACAGATGGACGGACAGACAGACAGCCAGGCGTTTTTCCGTCATTCGATATTTCGGTATCAAGGACCCACAAATCATGGATTCTCGATACATAACGTGTTAGAGGAATTTGTTTTCTAAATTTAGCAACTAGATTTATCCTCTTTTTCGATACCAGCGCCCCGTAATAAGAGTTTTCTGCCGAAAATTCGCCTTTTTTTCGTGCAGCATTACATAACTTTCTCTCTAGTCCGCAGCGAGACAGTAAAAAGAGGTAAACCCAGAGAGGAATGGCAGAATCATGTTTTTGAAGATATTCAAAGAAGAGGTCTAGAAGAGAATGACTGGAATGATGGGTATCGAGATTGGGATACGAGAGTCTGCCGCAAGAGCTGTAAAATACTCGCAAGAAGAAGGAAATGATAGGATCTATAATGTGGCGTCACCAAATAAAATTATAATAATTTCGTATCGAAATAGCTCCCATCACAGTTAAGTTAGTCGCGGGACGGTGTTTTGTTGCGGAAGAGCCTAAGACGCAGGGCTGCGGAAGCATTGGATAGCTGCCCGACGATCGCTGATGAAGGGATCTAGTGGCAGAAGCATTTACGACCGTCCATATACGCCCGCTGCCTCCCATCGGAGCACGCTCAGTACACAATAGCGCCCGGCTCCTTTTGCACGCGCCGCCCCTTTTGCACGCGCCCGCGCCAGGAATCCAAATCCAAAGGGGTTATTTACTAACTCCAACATGCGCTGCTGCGATCAGCCTCCCGAAAATTTAATGGCAGAAAAGAAAAGCGCCAAACAGCTCGAACAAGTGTCGGAAGCGTGCGAGAGAATCTTCTGGA